GTTCCCACTCAGGACCAGCCGTGCCCTGGGAGGGCGGGAGGAGGTTGCAGCAAGAGGGCATGGATTTTTGCAAGGTTGGTTTCCAACCTGGTTAAATCAGGTTAGTGGAGTCCCGGCTCCTCCCATCCATCCCCCCCTCCAGCCCCGTCCAAGCCCAGCAAAGCCCCTGGGTGATGAGGAAATGCTGCTTCACTCTCACCCCGCTGCACGATCCAGCCCGGTGCTGAGAGAGAGAGGAGCAGGAGTGCCCCTTGCCTGCAGCCGAAGCCACCGGACCACGGAGCATCCCTACGAGCAGTCGGACGGGCTACCAAGCGCCTAGAAAGGCAAGTACTGGTTTGGTATGAGGGTGCCACACCCAGCTCCGGCATCAGCATCCCTGAGGTCCTAACGTCTAGAGAGCAGCGATGCTCCCAGCCTCCGGGAGCATCTTCACCTTCTCCAGCTTCCAGGAAGGGACTCTTCCCCCTCCCGTCTGACCTGCCAGCCCGAAAACCAGCCCGGCAGCGGGAACAGGGCCAGGCAGAGGGCTTCTCACCACCCCCGGGATGAGAGCTCCGGGTCGGGCACCACCCCGCTGCGAGGACGGCCGGGCGAAGGCTCTGCCTCCGGAGCAGCCGCCTTCGCCTGCGTTAAAAGGAGACGGAGGCTTTTTCACGTTCACCACCTCCACAATTAGGAGGCGAGGCCCCGAGACGCCTCCTTTTCAGACCCAGCTGAAAAGCAGCGGTTCGCATCCAGGGCGCCGGCGTGCGGGGAATGCCGGCCGCACATTAAACACCCCGCGGCTGCAGGCAGGAACGAAGGGAGAGCTTTGCACTTCGCCTGGAGATCGGGGCAAGCTGATCCCAGGAGCCCGGGAGGCCTCCAGCGAGATCAGAGCCCCACGCACGAGACCAAGGCCCGCTGGGATGGGCATAAAGAGGAGCGGGGAGGGGAAAGGGGTGGTTTTGCTCCAGTTTCTGCTGGCCTGGCCCTGCCGTGCTTGCTGAAAATCACAAATATGGGGAGGGCTGATCTCCTCCCCCATCTGGCTCCGATTTCTCAAATAAGTGAGTTATTGCAAAGTGTCGAACTCGGGAGCCAGGCAGGCAGCACAGGGGAAAGGCTGCCGCCCCGGCTGCAGGCGCCGGCGCTGGACGCAGGGGCCAGGGCAGAGATGTTTCCAAGCCGCGGCTCCAGTTTTGCCCCAGAAAAACAGACAAATGAACTGGTTCACGTGGGTTTTTTTGCCTGTTCAGCTGCAGACTCCAAGAGCTGGAGGACAAGCTCTGAGCCAGAGCCCGGCAAGCCCTGTCTTCCCCGATCCCGTCTCAACCTCAGTGCACGCAGCATCCCCTGGGGCCAGGGACCCCTCGCCGGCAGCCCTGACGCTGCAGCACGAATCCAGTCTAAGCTGCAGAAATTTCCCCCCCCCCACACACACACATTTGATGCCTCTCTCCAAAACTACCTGTGCGCTGCTGTTGGGTGAGAACAAACGGCCCCAAACCCGAGAGGTCTGGAGTTAGCCTGGCCTGGAGCAGCAGTTGTTGCTAAAACCGTGAGCGACCGAGAGCGATGGCTCGCTGCGGCAGGGAGGTAAACATAAACATCAGCCTGCTAAAATAACTGTGGTTAGCTCTGCGGGCTGCAGCGCTGCTCCAGCTGGCGTGGCAACACCCGATAGGCACAAACACAGCATCGCACACCCCTTCCTCTCCTCCCCACGGGCTGGGAAGCAAAGACACCCTTGGGCAAGTTCATAGGGCGGGGGGGGGCCACCTCGAG